TTGCAGGCTGGTCACACCCCCTTCATGGTGGGGGTCCCCACTGGGGTGCCTGGCCAGTCTGGGTGAGGGGCTGAGGGCTGTTTTCAGGCTGGCCGGCAACTGAAGCTCCCAGCCTCTCCTTTTTTTCTTTTTTTTTTTATTCTGGGATTTATTTACCTTCTATAATTGAAACTTTGTTGCCGTCACTGGAGCTGAGAGCCGGCTCCAGCTCTGAGGCCACAGCCTACTGAAAGCAAGTATCTGGGGTTTGTTTAGCTTCTATAATTGAAACTTTGTTGCTTTCGGAGCTAAGAGCCATGCCGCAGCAGGCGGGGAACCTTGGCTTCCTCCATCACTGGAGCAAGCAAGCCTCCTGCTCACTTCAGCTGCGTGGATGCCAGCCACCATCTTTGTTGGTGGTTAATTTGCATAACGCCCTGATTAGCCAATGGGAAGCGTTTTGAAGGTACGGTCAATTACCCTTTTTGTCTTTTATTAGATAGGATATTTATATTATGCCATTATATTATATATATCACATATCTAATCTAATAAAAGAGAAACATGCAAATTGACCATACCTCTGCTATGCCCACCAGCCAATCAGAAGCGAATGTGCAAATTAACCCAACTAAGATGGTGGTTAATTTGCATACTAGGTACTAGTGGCCTGGGTCCAGGAAACATCAGAGGGCTCCCAGGTCACTCCGAGGTAGGCCCCGTGTGGGCCCTGAGCAGCCTAGGAAGGGCCTGAGCGGGGGGCTCCTGGGCAGGGCCTGAGCCTGCAATCAGAGCCAAGGGGGCCCCTGCCCAGGCCTAAGTCTTGGCCAGAGGCTTGAGGCCTGGGCAGGGATAAGCCAGCCATCAGAGTGGGCTCGGGGTGCCGAGATGGGGATCAGTGTGAACTACAGAGGAAACACCTTTTCTGACTGCTCATTGACTAAGCTCCCTGTATGCCACTGGTAATATTCTTAGTAACTTGGGTAATAAGAATCCAAGAAGGTGATGTAGGGTTTTTCCACCTCATTCCTGGAGAAAAAAAACGAAGGTCCACTGCTGGAGGGCTAAGAAATGTCATATCCTTCCCTAGCCTGTTTGGCTCAGTGGATAATGCCTCGGCCCGCAGACCGCAGGGTCTGGGTTCAATTCTGATCAAGGGCATGTACCTAGGTTGCAGGCTCCTCGCTGGCCGGGGCCCAGGTCAGGGCTCTTGCAGGAGGCAACCAATCAAAATGTTCCTCTCACTTTGATGTTTCTCTCTCTCTTTCCCTTTCTCTTCCACATTCTCTAAAAATCAATGGAAACATATCCTCAAGTGAGGATAAAAAAAAATAATAAAGAAATGTCATATCCTATGAAAGACATATCTTGAAAATGCCTAAAGAAAGTTGTCATTTTTTCATGGTGAAGGGACTGGAGTCCGTGTTGATGAAAACACCTTGGTGGCTGCGGTGACTGGCAGTGGCTGCAGCAGTGGGGTGATGAGGCTGGCGCCTTCTCCTGATCAGCCTGGTTACCTCCCACAAAGGGAGGCCAGACTGTGGCTTAGGCCTGCTCCCCAAGGGGAGCAGGGAGCGGGCCTAAGCAGTCAGTAGGACATCCCCTGAGGGCTCCCAGTATGTGAGAGGGGGCAGGCTGGGCTGAGGGACCACCCCCACCCCCCAGTGCACGAATTTCATGCACCGGGCCCCTAGTATATATAACAAAAATAAGATCAAGTTCACTGAATATAAATTATAACCCATGGTACAAAATGCACTTATAAATAGCCATTTAGCTTCGGTAAATATTTCACATCTCTCTCATTTACTTATCATTCAATAAATAGATATTTACTGAAGACCTAGTATGTATTGGTGACTTTGGCCAAGGGCAGAATTATTTTTTTGCTTTTTTAAAAATATATTTTTAATGACTTCAGAGAGGAAGGGAGAGGGAGAGAGAGATAGAAACATCAGTGATGAGATAGAATCATTGATTGGCTGCCTCCTGCATGCCCCCTACTGGGGATTGAACCCACAACCTGGGCATGTGCCCTTGATCAGAATGGAACCCAGGACCCTTCAGTCCACAGACCAACGCTCTATCCACTGAACCAAACTGGCAAGGGCAGAGCAGAGTTTTTAATTAAGGCATTTTTTGGTGGTGGTGGTGGTTTTTCAAATATGTGTTTCTTGATTTCAGAGAGGAAGGGAGAGGGCAAGAGAGAGAGAGGATATATTGGTGAGGATATATTCCCAAGAAGATAAGCATGTGTAACTGATGGAACTTTCCAAGACAGAGGTTTCTTTCCCCCCATAAAATGTGTCCATTGTAACTGGCCTCCACATGCCTTTGTTCTGGGACCAGGCAGCAGTCTCAGGGTCTGGGGAAGGTCACAAGTCTTACAGGAGAGAGAGGAGGAAGGACATGGGAAAAGTGAGCTCGCTCTAAATCTTTTCTGAAGTGAAACTGGCTCGAGTGCCTACACCTCATTGGCCAAAGCAAGGCACATGAATCGTAAATAACATTATAGTCTATTCCAGAAGTTTGCCCAATGTCTTGTTATTTTCAGGTAAAAGCTGAGCGCTAACATTGTTGCTATGACCTTGAACAAAAAGACCTTCTCTTTCTATGAATCATGAATATTTCCATGTCTGTGCTAACAGTAGACTCCATTTCCTTCTTTTTTCTCTTTCAGAGACTTAAGTAACAACCGAATAAGCACCCTTTCTAACCAGAGCTTCAGCAACATGACCCAGCTCCTCACCTTGTGAGTGTGAAAGTGCGGTACTGCGTTTTCATTAATTCGCTGGGCACAGTGCATTTTCTAGGCACTGGACATTCCTGGTAAACGAGACAGATAGCATCTTTGCCCTTGAGAAATATAAATACTTGCTGGGAGAAACAGACAAGTAATGCCTCAATCAGCCAGCAAACACAGACATTACAAAAGGCGGTGGGTTCTATAAAAGACAGAAGGGATATTTACACCTGTGGTGGGGTTAGAGGAGATGCCTAAGCAAATGTATGCAGAAGGTCACCTTCTGGAGGGCATAGTTGAGGCATCAGCACCTGTGGAGGTAGGAAGCTTTCTGGGCTGTACTCAGGAAATATATAGGTTGTTTCACTAAACAGTACAATATTTTTTAAAAATATTATATGTCAATATTCTCAATTTATATAACCTTCTTCTTAGCCACTTTATTTTAAAAATGACATCTGGCCCTTTTGGGATGCCTGAGTAAGACCACTCTGCTTCTATATGCTTTCAGGATTCTTAGTTATAACCGTCTGAGATGTATCCCTCCGCGAACCTTCGATGGATTGAAGTCTCTTCGATTACTGTAAGCATCTGATGTTCAACAAAGAAACTCTTCTCAGGGATCGAGTTGTCTATTTACTACTGGCTTAACTGCTTTGTTGATCCTGGGGTGTGTTCGGTTATATGCATTTACTACAAATTTGGAAAAGCATATCTGACTACATCATTGTTCATCAGCTTTAATTTGGACAATATAAATTTCTCTTCTGACATGTTTTTGCTATAGTTGTTTATTTGATAATATACAATATTTAGAGGTATGTTTTTCATAGAGTCAACTAATTTTGAAAGAAATGTAGGAAATGTTGTCTTTGCTGATTATGTAATAAGTGAATTTTAAAGTATATAAAATAAAACATGATCCTCAAGCCCAGTACCGTCCCTAAGAATTTACCATTATCCAATTTGGTGTTCTCTTCTGATCCTCCCTTATACACATTTGGTTTTTGTTTTGTTTTTGTTTTTAATATATTTTTCTTGATTTCAGAGAGGAAGGGAGAGAAAGAGAGAGAGAAATATCAATGATGAGAGACAATCATTGAACGGTTGCCTCCTGCACACCCGCAACTGGGGATTGAGCCCACAACCCGGGCATATGGCCTTGATCGGAATCAAATCTGGGTCCCTCAGTCCACAGGCTGACACTCTATCCACTGAGCAAAACTGGCGAGGGCAACACATTTGGTTATTTTGATGATATACATATTCCCTGGCTATATCAATTTTAAAAGCCATAAATAGGAATTGTTCTTTTTCTGTCACATCTTCACTATCGTTTGTTTTACTTCCAAATTTTCATAATTCTGTTCATCACTCTAAAGAACAGCCCACACGTCCACTTTGGTACAAATGTGCTAGTAATTTCAGCAGTGATTTGCAGGGGAAATGACCGCCAAGTGTACTGGGAGAATACGAAAAATAAACATCACATTGCCCCTCAAATGGGATTTTGTCAATTTACAAATTTATTTTTTCCACCAACTATTTAATAGAGTACCTGTTTTAAAGCACTCCTGCCAATATTGAATATCATCAATCCTTTCAGTTCGTCGTATGACAAAAGCAACTTTATTTCCCATTTCTGATTTAATTTGCAATTCCAATTACTCGAGCATTTGAATATATTTTGTTTATTGAGCATTTGTGCTGCTTAATCTATGAGCCTGATCATATCATTGCCCTATTTTTATTGGGTACTTTATCTTTTCCTTATTAACTTACATATCTTTGTACATCTAGCACTTGACTCTAAGTTTGCAGGTCTTTTCACAAAGGAATTATTCCTTGTATCTTATATGTGTTGCAAATATTCCCCATCCTGTTCCTTATATGTAATATTTTATAGCATGAATAAATTTTCTGTTCTCAAAAATGTATCACTCCTTTTCATTATGGTTACTGAGTTTTACACAATGATTTTGAAAGCCTTTCCTATCCTGTTTATAAAACGGGACTCTTCTGTATTTTCTCTTACTACACTTCAGTTTTATTTTTACATTTAACTCTTCAACCTAGAATGTATGTTATGCATATGACTTGAGGTAGGAACTAATTTTTTGCTTTCTGAAATAGATACCAAAGCTATTTATTGACTAGACCATCTTGCCTACACTGATTTAAAATGCTTATCATCAACTGAAGTTTCATATACATGCATGGGGATTTTTCTGAACTCTCTGAGTTATAGGAAATTTAATTTTCTTTTTCTTGTTTTAGTTCTTTACATGGAAATGACATTTCTGTTGTGCCTGAAGGTGCTTTCAACGATCTTTCTGCATTATCACACCTGTGAGTACCTAGTTCGTGATGTGGGTTTAGGCTCCAACTGTCCCTGGCAAGCGAGTTTGCAACACGCATCCTCTGCTGCCCCTTTTATTGTCACACCATCACATGTGAATGGTTCCGTTTTCAAGAAAATGTAAAGATTTTCAATGTAGATATGGTGAACGCCACAAGATAGCCTTCATTTATTCTTTTGGCCCATACTCCCCATTAGTAGAGTTCTCTTTGCTTACCCAACGTCCTAGCCAATACCTTTACTCTCATTGTTCTCTGATTCTTAAAATATTGGCTCTCTTCCATTCAGTCTCTCCAAACCCAATTGTTCTAAGACACATCCCAAGTACCACCTCTTCCATGAAGCCTACCCTGGTTGTCTCAAACAAGATTTGTTTATTTAGCAAATATTACTCAGCAATGGCTATGGTTCATGCAGAAATAAATGAGACCGAGTTCACGACCTTATAATGTGGTAGAGGGCAATAGCCAAATCCTCACAATGGGTGAAACACTTTTCTTTGTGTTCTTTGTTATAGCAGCCATTTGCACCTCCATATTTCCTGGAAGTGCAATTTTAAGAAATTAAAAATATGGGATAAATGGGATCCAAAAACTCAGCTGAGTCAAATTTCATGATTCTGTTATTTTCAGTTGTACTGTTAAGACCATGGCCAACCTGGACGGAAGTTGGGGGAACGGTCCCAGGAACGACAGCCTTCCTAGGGCAGGCTGCATGGGCATTCCCGGGGAGCGGTTCTCTGCTTTGGCTTAAATATCAGTGTCACTGGGCTCCCATTTCCCCAGAGAGGTTGCCTGCCATGTCCCCTCCTGGTTTTGCCCTTCCCTCACAAACCCACCAAACTCCAAATAAGACTGTAGAAAATTGAGAAAGGGGGGCGGGCGGAGGATAGGAGTGAGTTGTCCATTATGCTTCATCTGAATTTGTCCTATGGGGGCTGTGTTCTCCATACAGGTGTTTGCACATCTGATTGTTTGGTGCCTACAGTGAGTAATCCTTCCAACTAAACGATTAGGGCGCAGGAGGCAAGACCTCTATGTTTTCCATATTTGAACCTCAAAGTCAACATCAGGACCACTCAGGGGTGTCATTTGCCTGAGACACGATGTTAATGAAAGCCAGGAGCTCCGGGTGCAAGACTGTGGTGCTCTCTGGCAGACCAGACCGTGCAGCACAAAGAAGGAAGCGGCCGTCCCATCCGCTAGGTCAGGGTGATGGAGCAGGAAGGGCTGCACTGGGCAGCTAGGCTTGAGCTCAGGGGAACATCCCTTTCTGTGGCCACCCCGCTCACAGTGAGGGCAACTTGAACTTCTTTGTCCTGTGTTCCGTTCACTCCTGTATTTAATGTATGCCTTTGTCTCTTACTCCCTAGATTATAAACAGCTCTACTCTATTCACTTTTTCTGCTGCATCCCTCACATAGTAAGGACTTTGCAAATGTCACGAAGGAAGAGACCAAATGACTCAAAAACATCATTTTGCTCATTTTTTATTTGTAAAAAGAGTTTGAATCTGACGCAGATATGAGCTTAGCTTTTACTCCAGTTTTTTTGTTTAGAGTTGGCCATTAAAGTTTCAATGTAAAGTATTGTAAAGTATTTTACAAGCATATTATGGGGATTTTCTAATAAAACAGTAACTTCAATTTTGTGTAGACCGTAGACCTAAAATGTTATTTATCTGAAGTTAATTATCCGTCAGAATTAATCAGTTTTTAAATGCTGTTTTATGTATCTCTTGTGCCCAAATTTGGCAATTTTACAAACCCAGTGGTTAACTTATTTGGCCTCAGGTTCTTTATCTGTAAAATGCTTTATTATACTATTGACATCAGAGAGTTGCTATTTTGGATAAAATGATGTAATTCGAGTAAATAAACGGCTTAGCACAGTCCCTGCCTATGGAATGATGCAGTAAATGTTAGCTATTTACCTTGATTACTTTTCCTACCGCTACTGCTGCCTGTGTGAGTAGGAACCAAAGCTCTGAAATGAAACACTTTGTAAAGGGACCTTCATCCAATGACGGTCTAAATCAGCTCTGTGAACTAGCGTCTCTGTTTTCCCAGGCACTTTCTCATCTTTGTGCCTGTGTGCCCACTGGTTTTACCCTGGAACATCCTCCCTAGTCTTCCCCACCTACTTGACTCATCTAAAAGCTTAGACATTTTAACCACCAGTCCCCCACGGAGTTACCCTCTGTCCACAGTCCTCTTGTAAATCCTTCTGCTAGAGCACTTCTAAAGGAAGTGTGTGTGCATATATGTGTATAGGTTAATCTCCCTCGCAAAAGGAGTTCTTGGGAGTTAAGAGTAATGTAGGTTTTATATTGGGGTCCCCAGAACCCAGCATCGTGGTGGGGTTCTCATTAAATAATCTGTGAATGAAGGCAGCGTTGATCTCCACCCAATTTAAACCTGTCTCTGCAAATACCTGGACGCTGTCTAGATTTCAGGTGCGTGTTAACACTAGTGATGACTCACTAAATCTCAGTTGCACATAATCCAGGAAAATGGGTAACCCAATGTCTTCATTTTCTTCTAAGTTGTTTTTGCCAGGAAATCTATAGGGAATGTCTACTGAGCATTGCCTTATGTTCCCTTAGGAAATAATACTTGTGTGTGTGTGTGTGTGTGTGTGTGTGTGTGTGTGGTGTTTTTCAGAGCAATTGGAGCCAACCCTCTCTACTGTGACTGTAACATGCAGTGGTTATCCGAGTGGGTGAAGTCGGAATATAAAGAACCGGGTATTGCCCGTTGCGCCGGACCTGGAGAAATGGCGGATAAACTGTTACTCACAACTCCGTCCAAAAAATTCACATGTCAAGGTATGGTATTTAATCGTTTGTATTTCTGTAAATAAAAATTTGCCATGTTTATTTCAAAAGAAAAAAAAATACCGTTTGCTGCTAGATTTTAAAGGTATCACTGAAAAGCCCCAGTAACTACTGTTTCCACCCACGCTTGGGCAAGACAGAGCCGTTACCTGAGGCACCCAAGTAAAGAAGGAGGCTTTTCAAATAAATTGCAGAAATAGTCCATTGGAAATTACGAGGTTTTCTTTAAATTGCATGAAGAAGTGAAGAGTGCACAATTTCTGGACATTCCTCTCATAGCCTCTAACAAGTGACATGTCTTGCTTTTGCTTTGTCTGAACGTGTGCCCTGCTCCCAGGGCTGCCAGGGCCCTGTGGCTCCCTGACGCCAGGTAAGGAGATGAGCCCCCCGGTGTCAGGCCAAACCTCCCCTCCGGCCTCTCGTGCTGCCCTCTTCCCGGGATAATATGGCTGTGCCTTCCTTCCTTATGTCCCTTCTTTCCCCTTTGTTTTATGTATTTGTGAATTTGCAATAGCATCTTATTTAAAAATACTTTTTCTATTGTTACAAGAATAATATATACCCAACATAGAAAAATCTAAAGAATAAATTCTAAACAATAAGAAACGTTTCATTTCTGCAAAAACTAAAATGAATCATTAATCCCAAAACCTAGAGGTAAATATTATTAAACTTGTTTTGTATATTTTTCCACGTTTTCTAGTAAAGTGCATGGGTTTATTTTTTATTTTTTAATATATTTTTAATATATTTTTATTGATTTCAAAGAGGAAGGGAGAGGGAGAGAGAGATAGAAACATCAATGATGGGAGAGAATCATTGATCAGCTGCCTCCTGCATGACCCACACTGGGGATGGAGCCCACAACCCAGGCATATGCCTGACCAGGAATTAAACTGACCTCCTGGTTCATAGATCAGCGCTCAAGCACTGAGCCACGCCAGCCAGGCTCAAATGCATGGATGTATATTCTTTACCAAAGATGGGACAGAAGGTTACCGTCATTCTTAATCTGTAGATTTTCAAGAGGGCCACTCAGCATTAATAGAGGAGAGAAATTCTTGAAAATTTAAAATGTATAATCAGTAAATGTTTATAAAACATGTTTTATGTGTAAAACTAAATCCTTGGTATCAGGAACATATAGAAATTTGTGTTATGCTCTTGCCCTCCAAGACTTGAAAATCTAGCTGAAAAGATAAGCTTCTAACATTCACACCTTTAGGTGGGAAAAATGTATCTAAGTAGGTCATAGTGTACATTGGGTCACAGTGGGTCATAGTGTACAATGGATCACAGTGAGTCATAGTGTGCAGTGGGTCACAATGGGTCTTAGTGTGCATGGGTCACAGTAGGTCATAGTCTGCATGGGTCACAGTAGGCCATAGTGCACAGGGGGTCACAGTAGGCCATAGTGTGCAGGGGGTCACTGTGTGCAGTGGGTCACCGTGGGTCATAGTGTACATTAGGTCACAGTGGGTCATAGTGTACTTTGGGTCACAGTGGGTCATAGTGTGCAGTGGGTCACAGTGGGCCATATTGCGCAGGGGGTCACAGTAGGTCATAGTGTGCAGGGCGTCACAGTGGGTCATTGTGGGCAGGGGGGGTCACAGTGTGAGAGCTGAGGCCCGGCCTGACCTATCCTGGGCTAAAACCAGGTTCACTTTGCAGCAGTTATGGAGCAGTTTAGCTACACTGTGCCTCAGTTTTCTCCTGTGTAAGCAGAGGCGATGACAGTACCTACCCTAAAGAGCTTTGTTAACACTAGATAAATCATTACATGTGGAATCTTTAATTTAAAAAAGCCAATTTTATAGAATAGAATGATGGTTACCAGGGTCTGCAGGAAAAGGAAAATGGGGAGCTGTAGGTCAAAGGCTTCAAACTTTCAGTTATAAGAAGAATAAGTTGAGAGGATGGAATGTTCAGTATGATCACAGTAGTTAATAATACAATGTTGGCCTGGCTGGTATGGCTCAATGGTTGAGAGTCGACCTATGAACCAGGAGGTCATAGTTCAATTCCCGGTCAAGGCATGTGTCAGGGCACATGCAGTCTTAACCCCTAGTTGGGGATATGCAGGAGGCTGCCTATCAATGATTTTCTCCCATCATTGATGTTTCTATCTCTCTCCCTCTCCCTTCCTCTCTGAGAAAAGAAAAATAATAATAATACAATGTTGTATACTTGAAAGTTGCTGAGTGGATCTTGAGCAATTTCACCACACACAAAAATGTTAACTATGCAAAGTGACAGATGTGTTAATTATCTTAATTCCACAGTATTCATGTATATTTCATCATCACATTGTACACATTAAATATATGCCATTATATTTGTCAATTATCCCTCCATATAGTTGGGGGAAAAGGATTAGTTGAATTAAATATATATGTAAAACACGTTACCTTACACACAGGAAGCACCCAACATAGGTTAACCACTAATTCTATTCTAACTCTTCAAAAGACCAACAAACATGATGAGGGACTCTCCATGATTTATTGATTAAAGAAGGAATTTTCAAAACCTATGTTCCCTACAAACATTTTTAACTTGGCATCTAATGCTTTTTTCCATAACTATAAATGGTTGCAAAATATGCCATTTGCAGTGCACTATGTTTGACTTTGAAAACAAAATTCTGCCATTATTCTTTTAAATGTATTTGGTGGAATCTAATGTAACAGCTAATTTTAAAAGACAAAAACAAGCCCTT